ACTACCACGACTACTACGAGAGCTCCAACTACTACGACTACCACGACTACTACGAAAGCTCCAACTACCACGACTACCACGAAAGCTACAACTACCACGACTACTACGAAAACTACAACTACCACGACTACTACGAGAGCTCCAACTACCACGACTACTACGAAAGCTACAACTACCACGACTACAACGAGAGCTACAACTACCACGACTACAACGAGAGCTACAACTACCACGACTCAAGGTAGTTGGATTTCCCTTTTTAATCCGGCCACCTCGGCCATATGACATCTCCTCGAACTCTGCAAAACGTTAGCGGTAACACTCAAGGCGGCAGCAGCGGCAGCGGCAGCAGCGGCGGCGGCAATGGCGGCAGCTGCAGCGGCTGTGGCAGCAGAAATTCCGGAAAAAACGGTGGAGCTCGTCGTGGAAATAACGATGATGAAAGGGACGAGCAACCCAAGAAAAATTGGGCAGATTACGATAGTGAAGGAGAAGACGTGGAAGACTCTCCACCGGAGGTGGATCTATCAGTGGAAATAGAGGAATCACCGAACCAAACAAAGGAAGGTCACCTCAAAGTACCCCTATTCTACCAGTGTCTGGAGAGTATCAAAAACCACACTCGTTGGGTCAACGCCAAAAGAGTTACTAAAACGATGGAGGCTACCGTTGACACTGCCCTTGATGGAATGACTAAGGTCTACTGCACCCTCATTGAGGAAAACAGAAGACTATCGATGAAATTACTGGAGGCGAAGGAGAAGCAGCCGCTCGCGGCGGCACCAAAAACTTACTTGGAAGCAGTGGCGTCGCATATCCAGCGCTACCCACTCTCTGTACAAACTAAAAAGCCACCAGCCCAACTCCACCAGAAGAGGGTGACGGTGAGGATTGATGATCTCCCAGAGAGCAAGCAAGAGAGGGAGACCAAACTCACCCAATGTCGGGACAAGGTGGTGGATCGCATCGGCCAAGATAAACTAAAAGTTAACAAAGTCAGGATCCGCGAAGGGGATCTTGTGATTTCGGTCAACGAATCCGAGTCCCCAGAGGAGGTCAGGAGAAGTATCGGGGAAATTCACGGTGTTAGTGCGAGAGTGTCCAGATCACTGGACCCCGAAGTCGTGGTTTTCACGAAAGCACTCCCAATGAGGGTTGCGGAGGAGGAGCTGATATCTCAGATCAAGTCATACCACCCTTCACTCGACACCACAGCTTGGCACGTGGTGCGAGCGCATCGGAGCTTTGTTATACTGCGGATGAGTCTAGCCGACAGGAACAAGTGTATGGGACCCATGAAAGGATCGGTATTCGTCAGAGGATGCCGTCTCCCTGCTCGAGACTATGTCGGAGTGTCGGTGTGCTACGACTGTGGCCAAGTGCACGCCCCAAATAGGAAAGGCGAGCCCGTGAAAAGGTGCAGAAAGAAGGAGGATGGATCATACTCGCTGCAGTGTATCCACTGTGGCCAACACGGGCACTGCAGAAACAGCTGCCCGAAGAAAGATCAGAACATTGAGGTGAACGCTCTCAAATGTACTCTCTGCGATAAAACGGGTCACTCTGCTCATCGTGGAGATCTCTGTCCACAGAAGATAGCAGCGCTGAAGGCACGTCTCCGTAAAACTGATTATGGAGAAGGGGAGGCCTTCGTGCCTTTCAACTGGGCCTTCAATCTTGGAGAGATTGGTATTGATCAATGACCTACTCCAATTTCTTACAATGCAATGTCCGTAAATCATGTAACATCTTAGAGAGTATTGTCCATCCCATTCTCAGTGATAGTGTCGATAAACCTGATTTTATCCTAATAAGTGAACCCCCTAGGAAGCTTTTTGTACTAGGGTATATACCTGTTCGTATAAACGATTCGGCGAAAGCCGCGATCTTATATAAAAAGTCTTTGTATAGCAGTGTAGTTGCTAGATACGATCTTTCGAATGAGCAGCTGGTTACGATAGAGTATGGTGGAGCCCTCATTTCCAGCTTCTACAATACACCGAGAGACGACGACCTTGGGTATCTAGACCCGTTGGAGGGCTTGGACAAACTTAGTATTGTAGCCGGTGACTGCAACGGCTCGTCAGAATTATGGGATCCATCGGGAAGGGCCCATTCAGCGGCGGTTGCGCTAGGCGAGAAGTTTTCTAATAAGCTACTGTCCATGGGGTATAGCTGCGACAACACCCGTGGAAGACACACCTTCGAACATCTTGGTGGAGGAGGTATACCTTGGATTGACGTAACCTTCAGTCGGGGGGTCGATGTTACAGACTGGAAGGTGGCGGATACGAGTGGGCTGGGGGATCATTATCCTATCAGTTTCACAGCAGAGGGACTTCACCATGAAGCCATCAGCGTGCCAGCCAGCGGACAAGACCATGAGCTGAGACAGTATTCGTACGGCTCATGTGACTGGGAGAAATACAAAGGGTATCTAGAGGAAGCAAGGCCCGGGTCATCTGGTATGATGCTCGATGGCACGGGCTTTGAGTATAGATTGGAATATATGACACAAGCCATCCAGGAGGCGTTTAAGAAGGCGACAAGGAAAGTGAGTACCGCGAACCGATCAGGCACTCAGGGCTTGGCCGCACGGAGGAACGACTGGTGGGATGGTGAGCTTCGCGATATCCGCTCAGAGCTGAAGCGAGCGGAGCGTAGAAGAGACCAACCAGAGAAAACTAGATTGAGGAAGCTATACAGAGATACGATTGTGAGAAAGAAGTCGGAAGCACTGGAGAAGGCGCTCGACTTCATGGACAGCAACCTCACAGGGCAGGACATCTTCAAGGCATTTCGGACGAAGTCGCCATATGAGCCCCTGGCCCCCTTGGAAGGATGCACGGATATGGAGCAGTCAGCAGACTTGATTGCGGATCAGTACCTTGGGAATCTACTAGATACCCCATCTGTCGCGAGGGCACCACAGCACACTGAGCACGGCAGAGATGACAGAGACGATACCGGCGTAACCTTCACCGCTGAGGATGTTACTCGGGTGTTGCACAAAAGGAAAGATAAGTGGGATAAGAGCCCGGGCAAGAATGGGATAAGGCTGAGACACCTAGGCCTTGCGCCTAAATGGGTGCTCGAATGCATAGCAGAACTAGTCTCATACTCGGTTAACACATGCCATGTCGCTGCAGCTTGGAAGGCTTCCAAGGTAGTTTTATTGAAGAAGAGTGGGAGGCCAGCAAATCAGGTTAAAAGCTTGCGCCCTGTATGTCTCAACTGCTGCATCGGAAAGGTAGCAGAAGCCCTGGTTGCTGAACACCTAGCAGGCCAGTTGGAAAGGGTCAGTAGATCGGGTACGCAGTTCGGCTTCATCAAGGGAGGATGCACGGAAGATCTGGTCAGAGAGGTCATGAAGTTTCAGTTGGCATCCAAAAAATGGATCACAGTGAGTCTCGACTTCTCGGACGCATTCGGATCAATCGCACACGATAAGATCCATGAGGTATTGATCCAGCGGGGTACGAATAGGAGGATTGTTAACTGGATCTCTAACTGGATGCACCTGAGACGGATGGAGATGAAGGTTGGGAATATACAGAGACAGAGGGTGAGAGACACCGGGAAGGGATGCCCACAAGGGGCCATTTTGTCGCCGTTGATCTTCGCTACAGTGGTACATAAAATCTGTGAGGAATGTTCCGAAGAATTGGAAAGAGTGCTGCCCAACTGTAGGGTGAGTATCCTCGGCTATGCCGACGATATTTACTTGTGCATTGAGCTCAAGGACCCGAGATCGTGTGAGCAGGCGGAGAGAATAATATCGGAGAGCCTAGACATTGTGGCGCGCATATCTGGGGAGTACGGCCTTCGGCTGAATCAGACCAAAACAGCAATATGCTGCAACTTTAAAGGGTTGGAGGAACTACCGACGTATAACAAAAGCATGAAAATTCTCGGAATCACGCTCACAGCAAGCCACAGCTTTACCCTGCACCTCAAGGAAAGATTACTGAAGGCCAGGCAAGTGACGAATAGGCTAATGTTTATGATTAAGGGGAGATATGGCCTGAACGTAAGGAACTGTCTAAGCATATTGGATAGAGTATTGGTACCCATAGCCACGTATGGTCTGGAGGTATGCTCGCTCAGCTTGTGTAACATATCGTACAAGCGGCAGATTGATTCAATCTACTGTGATTACCTCAGGAAGGCACTTAGGCTTCCGAGATCCACCCCGCTACCCTTCATTTATTTGGTGACAAACAGAGCACCGCTTAGCAGGAAGGTATTAGATGGCGTAGTAATACGCCATCATCATACCAAACCGGCAGATGTGCTAGTGAGCAAAAGATCGAAGAAGAAGAGAGAGAAGTGGGAGAGGGAGATAGAGGAGAGAAATATCCCAGCCGGATACGAAGGAGAGGTAGCCTGGAACTCCAAGTCGTATCTGGGGTATTCAATGGACATCCAGCTCTTTGCCGACAAGGAGAGCTCGATGAGGAACGAGTCCGAATGTGGGAGCATGTGGAGAATATACACGGATGGTAGCAAGGTTCCCAGGGATATGAGGAGAGGAATAGCGGAGTCAACGGGCTGTGCCTTTGTAGCAGTTAACCCAAGGGGTGGCGAGGTTCGCAGGCTGTTTTGTCTGGATCCGGCTAACAGTGTGTACCAGGCAGAGGTAGTAGCGATAAGGGAGGCACTGAGATACGCCTTGGAGGAGCTCATTCCTGGGGAAGGCAGCCACCACAGACGTATCGAGATATTTTCTGACTCGGAGGCGGCTCTGAAGTCCATCAATTCAACAAGGAGGACGAAGCTCACGGAGGAGATTGAGTTATTATACAGGAAGTGTGACGAACTGGGGGCATCCGTGAGATTCAATTGGATATGTTCCCATAGCAATGTGTACTATAATGAGGTAGCGGACAGACTGGCAA